TTTTAGGCATACTGATGGAAGTATGGCAGTATCTCATTATGCATTTCTCCATTGATAATGAAGTTGTACATTTTTATATATGTATTTATTGATCACATTTCCGATTATACAAATATATGAGTATATTCTTGTAAGAAATGCATTTGATATTTGTTAATATCAGAATCACTTTTAAATGAACCCCTCAACCTTACCCCCTTCATAGGCTCATACTATCAGTGGCTTACACTTTTGAGCACTGGACTTGAGTTAGGAGACCTGAATCACAGTCTTGGTTTTACAAAACACTGACTTGTGGTGTGATTTTGGGTAAGTCCCCTTTTTGGGTCTTTTTCCCATCTTTAAAATGAGTGTTTTAACTAGATGGCCTGTAGCAACCTCTTTGCTTTAATATTCTGACCACTATTTCTGGGATTACAGGAAACAAATGGAGATGGCCATTTGTTTCAATATATAATTTCTCCATTTTCCTTAGTCATCAAACCCTTGAGTTTTAGCTGAGCACATGGCTACCCCATTGGACTCCATTTTCCAGCCCAACTTAATACAAGTTGGTGTAGCCAAGTGACTATATTCAGGCAAGAGTATGTGAGCAGAGTGGTTTGTGTAATTTTTGGGTTATGGCCTTAAGAAGAAGGCTAATACCCTTCAGTTGCCCCTTTCCTCTTCCTATTGACTGAAATGAAAATCTGATAGTAAGAACTGGACCAACCATCTTTGATCATTAGATAGAAGTTATGAATTGAGGACGGCAAAACAAAACAGGAACCCAGACCTCCCAACTCCATGTAGTTGACATCAACCCAGGATTACTTAGAAGTAGATTTTCATCTTCAACTACTGTTGTTTTAAGCAAAATCCCACTAGTCCTGAATCCTAATACATAGAAACTAACTGGAGAATGCCATAAGATCAGGTGTCAGGGCAGGTTTCTTTGCGGAAGTAAACTTAAGCTGAGATCTTAACAAAAAGGAGTCAGCCATACAGATTTGGGGAGAAAGTATTCCAAACAAAAGGGACCACTGGTGTAATAATAGTAAAACAAACAGCTTTCTCCTGTAACTGAGCAGACCTGGTCAGTATGGTACCTCATCTCCAGTGTTTAGTGAGTGAGCCAAGACATTGGTTGTGTGACCTGAGCAGGGCCAATCAAGAGACCTCCAGAGTTTTATTATGTGAATGATGACACAGAAGGGCTAATGTGTCAGACTGCAAAGTCGTTTGAACTGCAACAACAGTGGTTCAAGCTCACCAGCTACTCTTTGGAAACCCTATACAGGGTCACTATGGGTTGAAATCGACTCTTTGGCACTTAACAACAACAACAATTGTGTGTTGATTCTGACTCATAGGCAAGAGAACTGCTTTACAGGGTTACTGAGACTAAAGCTTTATGGGAGGAGACAGCCTCTTTCTCCTGAAGGACCACCTAAACCTAAGGTTATTGGGGCCTATGTTGCTGTCAAGAGACAAAAACATGCCTGAAAATAAAACCAAGCAGAGGCAAACATAGATGAGAACTAGAAAGGGACAAAGTTCTCTGAGAGCCTTTGAACCCTGGATTTAACCACACCTGGTTACCACATCTAGTTATGGAAACCAACAATTTCCTTTTTTGCTATTGGACTTTGTCACTTACAACCAGAAGGGCCCAGAGAATGAGGTCCTGCAAATCACAAGCCCCAACAGGCAGCCAGTGTGGTGCATGGTGGTTAGGATGCCTCCTTACCTAGTTGGGAAATTGGTTATCTTTGCTTTTAAGTAGTAAAGTGGCCTGTTGTGTATAAAAAAAATTTTTTTTTTGCGGGGTCCCTTAACCATATGCTTACTGAGGTTGAAGTTTTAGGGTTAAGACAAAAAATGTCAGGATAATGGGCTATGTGGCCTTCCATAAGGTATTATAAGAAAGAGAGCAGCTTCTGTCTGAACTGGTGTATCTAATAGTGAAACAAATCAAGTCTTGCTTGGAGAGGCCTTTAACGGCCGCCGACAGACTGTGATGCCTGGGAGTTTGAAGGGTTGGGAAACTGAGTTCTCTGCTGAAGGGTAAGAGTATTACTAGCAAGACTGGGACCCTGAGGGAGCCAGAGCCTCCAGGACCCTTCCATCTGAGTGCTGCTTCCCTGATCAGTGTGGCCTTAGTAGATAAAACTTGGTGGGCTGGAGCAGACACACAGTCTGAGGTCAGTAACAAGTCCTGACTCGAGGATGCCACTCAAATAGACCACAATGCCTGGTGGCAACTCTATCCCCTGGTCTTCTCATTACTAAAGCTATTAAAGCATTACACTAGATCCATAACTTTGCTATTGTTTATTAGGTATGACAGGTGGTCAAGTGCAGGGGCTTTCGAGTTGAACTATCTGGGTTCAAACCCTAGCTCTGTTGTTTTTTGGGTGACTAGTGTTTGAGATCCTAGTCTAGAGTAGTATTGGGCAAGTTGCTCTCCAGATACAGCTTCCTCATTGCAAAGTGTCTCCAGCTAAATTTTGGGCATCCTCCCTTCCCAACCCTGTTCTTCTTCCAGGCTTCTCTGTCTCAGTAAATGGCCCATTAGCTACTCAGCTCATGGAAACATCTAATTTACCTTTAAAACACATCCTAAATTTATTCTCTCCCTACCCCTGTCACCACCCATTCAGGTCACCACCATTTCTCATCTACACTTTGCCTTGGTGCTGCCAGCAGAAAAACTGAAATTCAGATTGCGTCATTTCCCTGCTTAAAATCCATTAAATAGCTTCCCCCTTTTTTGAAATAGTCCAACAGGCTAACATGGTTAGGAGGTTGGGACAGAGTTGCCTGTTTCCTGCTCTTACCCAGAGGACTGTGACTGTCACCCATCTCTCTATGCCTAGAGCAGAGTTAGGTTTCCTGTTTGCTTGATGATGATGAGTCTGGATGGTTTTGAAGAGACTTCCCTTCATTATCCAGAAATGAGCTCAGGGGCCAAGTATTGGAGATAGGCAGCCAAGAAGCTAAGATGGCCAACAGCTTGGGTCTAAATTCCAAGGCCTGTCAACAGCTTGCCTCTGATCTGTGCTTCGGGCTCCAAGGTGGTAGATTCAGGCTCAGGTTCCCTAGAAGGTGAAGCTTTGTGGTTCTTCAAGCAGAGTTTGCCTGGCCACTTCCCCAAAAGGATGGGGCAGGCAAATGTAGGTTTCCAGGTAAGTCAGGCACAGTTCTGGGGAAGAAATCCAAGGGGAGCTAGAAGGGAGCAAGAAGGGTCTGACTGCAGGAGCTTATGTTTCTAAATTTTAAAATGAATTGTATTGCTTTAAGGTCCAAACTCACCAGCTGATTCTTGGAAATCCTATAAAGGGTCACTATGAGTTGGAACTGACTCAACAGCACTTTAACAAGACCCAAATGGAGTCCTTTAATGGCACTGTAGGATAAACATTGGGCGGCTAACCACAAAGTGGGAGGTTCAAACCCACCAACTATTTATTGGAAACCTTATACAGGGTTGCTATGAATCAAAACTGACTTAACGGCACATAACAAGGCCCAAATTGAACTTGCTTTGGTTCAACAGTTGGGGTTCCCTGCCAGCCTGAAAACTGGCTCCTTCCTTAGTGGGGCCTTCCTTTCTCTTTTGTTGTTGTTCGGTGCCATCGAGTCAGTTCTGATTCATAGTGACCCTGACTAGGGTTTCCAAGGAGCGGTTGGTCCTTGTGATTAGCAGTTCAGTGCTGATCCTGCAGCACCATGCGGGATTCCTTACTTTCCCTAGGGAAAAACATTATGTGCTAGTTTCAGAATGGCTTGAAACCACACACCCAGTGGATGTTCAAGTCAGAAACGCAGTCTTCTCTGCTCTCCTGTTCCTTCCCTATCGAGGGCTGATTGAAAATGTTGGCAAAATCTGCCTGTTGTGTCTTCAGAATGTATCCTGAATTCATACATTTCCTCCCATCTCCACTGCCACCACCCTAGTCCATGCCATTCACTCTCCACCAGGGCCTTCAGTAGGCCCTTAACCAGTCTCTCTGCTCTTTCATCTTCCCCAATGGCAAAATTTGGGGAAACTCTTGGCCCAAACCCTTCCATTTCTGCCCCAATAGATGCAAGATAAAGCCATCCAAGTTCCCTAGGTGTAGGAACTGGCCTTGACCTACCTATCCAACCTCTCGTCCTGTCACCGACCCTCTTCTCCCCCTCCTCCCACTGCAGGGTCTTCACACGTGTCATTGTCACAGCCTTCCGTAGCCCACACTCCATTGTCTGCAAGGATCTTCCCGTGTTCCTCACAGGGCTCAAGCTCATGGGACTCTGGCCACCCTCCCCTGTTATTCTTTATCTCATCTCAGATTCCTTTGACACACCTACAATGATTGATAACTGCTTTTATTTATGTGGGGTTTTTTTTTTTTTTTTTGCTGTTGTCTGTCTCTTTGTCTGAATTTCATGAAGACAGACAAGCTGAGGTATCCCTAGCACCCAGCCCAGGTTCTTGACAAATCTCTCTTGAATAAAAAGTCTTTCTTGGTGGTTGCATCTTCAACAGTCAAGAAATATGTCATTGCTTCTGAATTTGATCCTCAGGCAACATTTCTGCCAGTTACTGAGTAATTCCTCTCTCGGTGTGTGGCTCAGGGTAGAACAGGAGTACTTAGGCAGCCTGGATGGGAAACACCGTCCAGTGGAAATGCAGCAAATCTCAACTTTAAACCTGGGGCTGTCCATCCAGATCTCAGTTCCAGTGTCCAGCTGTGCTGCAGAGGCCTGGGTTTTCCAGGGCTTCTTAGGATCCAATGGCTCTCCTCTCCCCTAATGCTCCAATAGCTCCTCTCTCAGACCCCTTACTTCCTCTCAGCTGCTTTCAAGAGGAGGACACACTAAAGGCAGGAGCTGGGGGTGGCAGAGGTGAGCCTCCCTGCTAACCCAGGAGAGGGCTGGGGAACCTCTGGAGGACCCAGGAGAACATGGCTGCAGTGGAAAGATGTAGCGTGCTCACAGAAACCACCAGCATGTGAGCAGGAAGAGGGCACAAGGGCACAGTTCTAAAAGCATTTACTTTGGTTTTCACTTCTCCAAGGTCCCAGGAATTCTACATTCCAGTTCTTGGGTCTTGTACTCTGTATCTCACTCCTCCTTCAGCCACTGCAACAGCTGAGGTGTGTAGTAGGTGATGATGATGTCGGCACCTGTGGTGGGGAGGAACGGGAATGGGAATGGGGGTTTCAGCTCTTAGCACAGCTTCTGATTGATGAGGGCCAGGGAGGGAGGAAGGGCCTCTGATTACCATGAAGAGGCACAGCCAAGGGGTGCCATAGCACAACACTGAGTCCAGCTGGAGTCAGTTCTAGCCCTGTATGCTGTGTGACTTTAGACAAGTCATTTTCTTTCTGGGCTTCAGTTTGCCCTTGGATAAAATGCATGGTGGGGGGAAACAGACAAGCTGTCAGTGTCCTTCCCACACTGGTGTGCTATGCAAACAATGATTGAGTGCCAGTTACATACATTATCTCATCTAACCTTCAGGACAATCATGCACCAACTATCTTATCCCCACTTGAGAGGTGGGGATACTGAGGCTCAGAGAAGTGGCTTGCTCAAGGTCTCATAAACAAAAAGGAACAGAGGGCTCAGCTTTCTTCACCCTTCCATGTTCTGTGTGTTCTTCCTGGTCCATGTCTCTTCCTCAATCTGTGTTTAGATCCCTTGTGTTTCTTGGCTGCCTCATGACTTTATTGCCCTACCTGGGCAAAGTTCCTTTCAGTCACCGAGGCCTGCTTACCTGCTCTGCGGAAAGCAGTCATGGCCTCCAGGACAGCAGCCTTGAGATCAAACGCCCCGGCCCGGGCTCCGTGCCATAGCATGGCAAATTCTCCAGAAACATGGTACACAGCGAGAGGGAGCTCTGGGTACTAGAGAAGCAGCAATGGGCAGGCAAACATGGTTCACGTACCTCTGGAGTGTCCTTTCCTCCCTGCCCAATCTGCGACCACCCCACACCCTGAGCCACTGTTGCCCGCAGCCCGGGACCTTCTTGAGCTGTTACACTCATGGTGGTGCCTGGGCAGAGATCGGGAGGAAAAGATTCTGGTCGGGGCAGATCCCTTCCAACTCTGAGTCCCTTCATGTAAGGTCTATGGGTAAACTCTCTCTTCTCCCTGAGGCCCCTTCTGTCTCTGTTCTGTGCTTACCTTGTTCTTCACCTCCCGCACGATGTCCAGATAGGGCACTCCTGGCTTCACCATGACCATATCGGCTCCTTCCCGGACATCCCGCTCCTTAGGGATGAGAGTATGGTATGGGCAGTGCTGGGGAGAGGAAGGATTGAAAGGGCAGGGAAAGGCTAGTGGGCTCAAGCCCTGGTCACTCACCACTGCTCGAAGGGCCAGGCCTCGTGCTCCAGGGGGCAGCTGGTAGCAGCGGCGGTCTCCGAAAGCTGGGCTGGACTGAGCTGCATCCCTGGGAAGTAGAGTCATTAAGGTGAGCTCTAGGTTTGGGTTAACTGACCAGGGATTTCACAGCAGACTCACTTACCTGAAGGGTCCATAGAAACAGGATGCAAACTTGGCACTATAGCTCATCACTGACACCTGTGGAAACAATGGGCCAGGGCTCAGCCAGTCCTTTATGCATGTCCCAGGGTGATGTGGCAGGGGCAGGAAGGACCTAGGCTGGGGGCTAGAGTGCCTGTGTTCTGGTACCAGTGTCACTGGGCAAGTCTTCTGGAGCTCTGGGCCTTGATTTCCTCAGCTGAGGTACAGAGGTGGATGGATGGATCTCAAAGGCCTCATCCAGTATTGTCCTCAGTTCTGCCATTCTTGGCAGCTAGGCTGGGCAGGGCTGGCTCAGCTATCTCCACACCTACCCATGTCCCTCCAGGGTATGGCCTGTACTCCTTGCTCCGTACCCTGTTGCCAAGTTCATGTGCCATCAAGGCCTCCTTGATAGCTCCCACGCGTCCATCCATCATGTCCGACGGGGCTACCACCTGACATCCTGAAGGACAGAGGGTGGCCTTCAGAAGTCTGGGACCCTCCTACCATTTCTGCCACCTCCCTGACCTACAGGCTTCCTGCCACCTTCCTGCTGGTTGGCGCACTCACCTGCTTTAGCATAGGCCAGTGCCACCTCTGCCAGTCGCTGGCGGCTCTCCTCAGCCTGGAATGCCCCATTCTTGCTCAGGATACCTATGGGACAGATGGTTGGGTTTTGGAGAGTACCTTGGTCCCTGGCCTATCCCCATCCTTGGGAGAACTGGACAGTGGGAGCAATGTTGGCAGCAGGGCTGGTCAGAGGGGGTAGCTTACCACAGTGCCCATGGGAGGTGTAGGGGCACAGACAGACATCACAGGCCACCAGGAGGCCAGGGAAGGTCTTCCGTAACAGGCGGATTGCCTCGATAGCTGGGGAGTCCTCAGAGTCAGCTGCAGAGCCGCGCTCATCCTAGGGGCAGAAGGAGAAAGCGCTGTGTCTGTTACAGGGAAGTTTCAGGAAGGCATGCCAGCCACCACGGAGCACAACCTGGCCCTTTCCTTCTATCACCATCATAGCCCCTAGTGTGTAAACACAGGGAGGACTGTCCCATTATACAGAGCGGGCAACAGAGGCCCAGACAGGGGACCTGGCTTGCCCAGGCAGAGTGTTGTGGTCTACTATGCTTACTCTTAGGGCAGGGCTCATGTTCATTCCCATGGCCCCTGGGTGGGCAGAGGGCCTGAGCCAGAGTATGGTCAGTGTGGACCCTCTCCCCACCCCCCCAGCTCCTCCCCTTTGTCCGATTCTTACCTTAGGGACTCTACTGGGGACGCCGAAGATCAGGACGCAGCGCAGGCCCTCTTCCACCAGGGGCTTCAGCATCTCTTCTAGTCGGTTCACACCATACCTGGGCAGGGTGGAGGGATTGAAGTGAGGCAGGTCCTAGGCAGGGGTCTTCCCACCCCCAGCACTGTGCCTCTGTGAAGAGCCAGGCTGCTTATGCACCACAGCCACAATACAGGGAGAAGGAACACACCCAATAAACAGATGGAAAACTGAGCCCCAAGTAGCAGAGCTATGGACTTCAGCTATGGAAGAACCTTCCAAGGTTTTGTCATTGAACTCCCACCTGAAGTTCAGACACCCCCCCCATCCCCCCCACTGCAACAGCCCCATCCAGCTAGCAAGTAGCTCATTACTGTCAAGGGTCACTTCTACTGTGAGGCAACTTGGCCCCTAAGAAAGCTCTATTGAGATGAAGTCTGTCTCTCTCAAGCTTCCATCACCTGGGTCTGCTTCCTCAGCCATCTCCTTTCCCTCCCACCATGCCTCCTACCTGGCCACTCCTGGGAGGCTGGTGATAGGCTGCACATCATCAGGAACATCCCTGCAAGAGTGGAGGTGGACTATAGATCAGTAGCTGTGGGAGGACCAGTGAGGGGGGTAGTTGAGGGGGAGAGGGAATATGGAAGTGGACATGGTGGGAGGAGAATGGGATCCAGTTCTGGCTTCCCTGCCTGGCCAAGCCCAGGGCCTGAAATAACAACAGGAACAAGAATAACAGTGACAACAAGAGCATTGTCCTAAAACAACAGTAGTCACAGGAGTGAACCATGTGCTTTAGAAGTTGGACTTTGATGTCAAATGACCCCTGCTTCCTTAACTGAGAGACTGGATGGCTTTGGCCAAGTTGTATCATCTCTTTTGTTTGTTGTGTCATCATTGGTTCCCTAAGCGGGCTCATTCACTCAACATCTACTTGTTGTTAAGTACCGTGGAGTCGGTTCCGACTCATAGTGACCCTGCACTTTTTTTTTTTTTTTTCCCGAGGCTATAAATCTTTACGGGAACAGAAAGCCTCATCTTTCTTCTGCAGAATGGCTGGTAGTTTCAAACTGCTGACCTTGAGGTTAGCAGCCTGATTTGTAACCACTACGCTACCAGAGCTCCTTAACATCTATTTACCGGACACTTATTATGTACCAGACACTGTTCCAGGCTCTCGTGATACAGCAGTGAACCATGTGGATTACAAATCCCCTGGCTTCATGGGGCTGGTATTCTAGAGTATAACTACCTTCTTCTAATGAATGCTGTCAGGATTAAATGAGATAACATGTAGACGTTTAGCACAGCTGCTGGCACACAGTAAGCACTCAATTGATGTCAGCCATTGCTATTATGAATAATCAGGACAGCCACCTCTTACATGTACACGCACTTTGCAGTCAATGAAGTACCTTTTGTCTTATTACAGAAGCTCAGAATGGCAGGCAAGTGTTATTTTTCTCATTTTCCAAGGTTTCTTTTATTCCTAGGATTGCTGCCCTTAAACCAGTAGGTCACTTCCAGTAGTAGGGCCATCTGAGTTCCAAGCTGACAGCCCACTGTACCACCCCAGCAATGCTGACACCTGCCCCACCCTGACAGATCAGAGGGCTGGCCCCTTCCCAGGGACTCACGTGACAAAGATGGGATAGATGAGGTTGGAGGCGTGGAGAGTGGTGGTGGCTGCCTGCCAGGTTCGAAGCAGTGGGTGGAAGTAGCCACTGTGTAGGACAGACTGGGGCTGCATGGTATGGTCTCAGTGGGGATACAAAGCAGGCAGCCAGAATCCAGTGCTCCTGGGTGCTGGCTGTGTGCTGAGCCCTGGAGAGGGGTGGCAGGAGGAACAGAAGATATGATCCCTGTCCCCAGAAGATGGTCACACACCCCTTGACCCAGGCCCTTCTGGATCCCCGCCTCCCTGCTCCCTAGCCCACTGCTCCACAGAGTACTGCCTACCAAACCCAGCTGAATAGAGAAATGAAAAGTAAGCCTTCAACATGGTCACAGCAATGTGGCAAAATCATTTTAGGTAGGCTGGTAATTTAAATGGGCTTAGGTTTTGTATGGCAATTTTTTGAAAGCAATAGTATTTTTCTAATAATCTCTTTTTACTATAAGTTTATCAAAGAATCTATTTATGATGGGTTGTTGTTGTTAAGTGCCATTGAATGGTTCCAACTCATAGTGACCCTGTATAATTTCCCAGGTTGTAAATCTTTGCAGGAGCAGAAAGCCTCATCTTTTCCTGCGGAGTAACTGGTAGGCTTGAACTGCTGACCTTGTGGTTCACTGTGCTTATCCTATGGAGTCATTGCACTTGCTATTATGGATTGCTGTTGTTGTTGTTGTGAAGTGCCGTCAAGTCACTTCTGACCCATAGCAACCTTGTATAAAATTTCTGAGGAGCAGCTGGTGAGCTTGAACCGCTGACCTTGCAGTTCAAACTGGCTTTGCAGTCCAGTGCATTGACCCACAGCACCACACCAAGACACCTATGATAACGGATTGTTCTTGTTGTTGTTAAGTGCCGTTGAGTCAGTTCCCATGCATAGTGACCCTGTATAGGGTTTCTGAGGAGCGGCTGGTGAACTTGAACCACTGACCTTGTGGTTCAAACCGGCTTTGCAGCCCAGTACATTAACCCACAGTGCCACACTACAACTCCATGATAATGGATTAGGAAGGGAAAAAAAGAGTTGGTCTTCCTTGCAGATGGTTGAGAAGTACTGATGTAGCCAACATTTAAACTGTTCATTTCTTGAAAAAGGCCAATGTTTCTGACAGACATTTTAGAAAATGACAGGTAAGCAAAGAGAAACATCCCTGTAACTCTTTCTAGACAGCAGTGCAGCCAGTACCCCAGCACAAGTACTTTGTATTCAGCATGAAAGACAGATACACTGGAGTGTGGCTCTGTCTCAGCCAATCCACTGATCCTCAAATGCCAGTTACACTTGGCCACCTTCTCACTCAGCTCATCCTGCTGCTTTTACCTAGACACTCCAGTTCTCTCCACACCCTCCCCACACCCACCCAAATCCTACTGACTCTTCACGAGAAGCCCCTCCTCTCTCCTGAAGCTTCTAGTCCGGCCCCGGATCACAAACTCTTACATAACAGTTCTTTGTAGATTTATTTAATCCCAGTAGTCAGAGCTCATTAGAGGGCAGGGTCCATGGTTGGCTCTCTTTTGCCTCTCCCTTTATCCTAGGCCTGGCACACCAAACCCAACCCACGGTCAATGAGTTGACTCTGACTCATCATGACCCTATGTAGGGTTGTGGAGGCTGTAAATATTTATAGTCCAGTGTGTAACCCACTAGGTCACCAGAGCTCCATGGGCCTGGCACACAGTACATACTCAATTATACAAAGTATACAGCAATATACTCCAAATGCCAAATGAGTAATGTAACCCAGAAGGAAGCTGGGTCATGAACATTGTTTCTTGAGCACCTACTTGGCGTACCAGGCCAAGCTGGGCTCTTCTTCACACCATTTCTCAAGTACACAATAGTCTAGGAGGTAGGGCTGTGTACACTTCAGAGAGGAGGGCTGTGACCACAAATTAGAACATGAGGAGGTTGGAAGAGGCTTGCTGGAAGAAGACAGAGTTTGAACACAGTTCTGCAGGATGAATGGAGCAGGGGACAACGGTAGGAAGGAGGAACTGCCTATGAACTCTTCTGAGGACATGAAGAAGCAATCGAGAGGCAGTCAGAAATGTGCATGCGTGAAGAGGGGGAGGAGTGGAAGAGAGGAAGAAGAGGAGGCCAGACTGGTGAGAACAAGAGGCCTGAATGCAGACTGAGGAAGATGAAGTTTGCTCAACAGAGAGCAGGAGGTCCCTGTGCAGAGCAGACCGGAAGCAGATGAGCATGGAGACTGTAGGGGTTGGAGGGGCAGAGAAGGGTCAGCCTAAACGGAAGACGGCCAAAAGCCAAGAAGCAGTGGTAGGGCGGATGCTTGCCTGACAGTGACGGGACAGGAAGAGGGCGGTGGGAAGCAGACTGAGGAGGAGGTGGAGAGCTTCATTTTAGACACTTCCTTTGGGGGAACAGTTAGTAACCCAGTGGGAAAAGAAGAGCCACAGAATGTGGGAGCTAGAAGACACTTACCCAAGATCACACAGAAACTTTGAGACAAACCAGCTGGATCAGGGTCCTGGTGTGTCAACTGACAGGGGAATCCTTTAGTACACTGTCTCCCAGACCCTTCAGCTGCTTCCCAACTAGCTGCAGGGTGGGTGCCCATTTTATCAGGTCCTCCTTCTTGGTGGGGTTCAAGTTATCAAGAGTCACACACACAGGGACCCACCCTGCCACCCCTCTCTGGGCCAGCTTCAACATGGGATACAGGGGCAGGCCAGGCCTCCCAGGCCCCCAAATGAGTAATCACTCAGTAGATCCAGGGGCCTGCTTATTTTGTGCAGGATTTTGATCAGGTCTGCCAGGAGTGAGTCCAGCTCAGAGGGAGTTCAGTCATGTGCCCAAGGCCACAGAAGCAGAATCAGAATTTGCTGTCGATTCCCAAGTATAGTCTTCCCTACTATATACACAGTACTGATCAACACTTGATTCTGTCTTGGGGCTGGAGAGCTGGAGGGAACTACAGAAAAATATACTGAATGCAGATTATATTGCTGGGCACTGCATTGCTTTGTACATATTATCTCACTTGATTGCAGAAGGTTGTTCCAACTTTTAGTAATAAGGAAACAGGCTCAGAGAGGTTAAGCAATTTGTTGCTCAGTGCCATTCTGGAGATTCAAGTCCGATTTTGAAGCCAGGTCTATGAGTTTCTGGTTTGCTTCCTTAGAACAACTTGTCACAGGACCCTGGCTTCTGGAACTCAAAGCTGCATTCCACTCTCACTGGAGGCTGAAGGAGCAACTGCCTCTGCTTATCAGAAGCAACAGGCAGGGCTGCCTGGGAGGGCGGCAGGCCAAACTGAGTTCTGAGAAAATAGGGGGCAGGGTGCAGAGGAGGAGGGAGAAGAGGTGAGTAAGGCTGTTCCGTTCTTATCTGTTTATTTTACGGATTAGAGAAAGGTTTGATTTTAAAAACAGGCAACAATGCTAAACAAATGAAGAGTTGAGAAGTTACTGATCCTGTTTGTTTCTTTTTTTTTTTTTAGTTTACTAAATGGGGTGTTGTGAGGGGACAGGACTTGTGATCATACAGTGAGTCAGGTACAGTGCAGGGACTAGACCACATGAGAGTCATTCTATTACAGGAGGTACTTCAAAAATATCTGGTAGGTAGAAAAATGCCCATGGAGCTAGATTCACATCAGTCTGCAGAGCCAAATCCTGGCTGAGGTTTTGCTTTGTGAAAATTCAAATTTGGGAAACTTTCACATGGTGGGAGGGCATGTCTCCCCAAGCAAGTCACCATGGTGCTCAGCAGCAACCTTCACATTAGATGAGTGTAGTTGGAAGACAAAGTGGGGTTGGACAGCAAGAACCTTGCCCTCCTGTCAACCTATCAGTCTCCATTTTGAATTCTATACAATGGGCATGATACTATCAAACCTGCAAGGTAGTAGAGAAGATTAGAGAGAGGGATGAGATATGTGCCAAGCATGGAGGAGGCACACTGCAAACAGGCAGCTATTTTTATTATTATTAGGAATGGAGCTAGGCTGGTATCTTTCAACAAGTCAGCACAAAGCTGTGCCTTCTACACCACACCCAGTGGGGAGCACATCTACTACAACTTGTGTGGGCACAGGGTCTTCCAGGATATCTGAGTTGGAGTCCCTCCCTGCCTTCCAGCAGCATCGTGTGGTGGAGGAGACATAATCACTCATGATGTTAGACTAGAAGGGTGAACCAGGTACTGGGAATCAAGGATGGCTTCAAGGAAGAGGGGACATTGAAGGATGACTAGCTTTTCAGATTGGTTCTGAAGCTTATTTCTGTCTTTAGAAACAACCTGTTGTTGTTAAGTGCCATCGGTTCTGACCCATAGCGACCCTATATTGGGTTTTTAAGGAGCAACTGGTCAGCTTGAACCAATGACCTTGCGGATCAAACTGACTTTGCAGTCCAGTGCATTAATCCACAGCACCATACCAGGATTCCAACCTGCGAGTAGCCTAAATTGCACCCTGAGAGCTGCCTCCGGGGGCGTTGAGAATGAGCTTCAGGTCCTGAATCATCTGTGTTATGCTCCGCTAAGGATTCCAGAGGCTGTGGTCTTGGCACCAAAGCTTGGGAGCTGTTGCTATTTCTGGCAGGCGCTGCCACTAGCAGGGGAAGAGGTAGTGAGGAGGGCCAGCTAGGGGGAAGGTGAGCAGTGCTGAGAAATAGAAAGCTCCAGAAAGGTTCAGGATAGCAACTGACAGACAGTTCTGCCTGTTCATTCAGCCTGCATTTCCTGAATACTTACTCTGGGTCTGCTATGGTATTTGATACTGGGACTGGAGAGATGAATTAAGACCCAAGCCTTGTCAAGCCTAACCCTCACTGGACCAAGAGAATGCAGAATATCCTTAAAGCTTGGTGATTACTAGTCCCTCATTGAAATGGTGGTGAAAGGGATCAGAAAGGGGTAAATAAAGGTAGACACTAGCCCAAGGGGGGAAGGTTGCAGATGACAAACGAATCTAAGTAATGCTGATTAAAATGTAGAAACAAATGTTTTGGTATATATATTTGTGCTACAAAATATATATATGTCTCAGTAGGTCCAGTCAGTGGAAGATCTGGGGCTAGAATCCAGGTCTCCAGTCACTCAATTCTGAATGCCCCCAAAATTCCATAGCTGCTTTCTAGCATAACTGGGCTAGTGAACTCTGGGTGAATGT